AGTAAGAAATAAACGTAAATTTTTCCTGGTCTGGTATACGAGGGATGTCTTTTAAGTTTTGCATATAGAAGCTTAGTAGGCCGCGCGGATCGAACGTCAGTACTGAATCTTAATCTCACTCTTTAGTAAACTTAAATTCAAAGTTTCACAACAATACATGCAGTGTTCTCACTACAAAGAATTTTTAAGTGTCACCAAGTCATTAGAAAAATGGAACTCAACCGAGAACATTTTCGCGCCATAATTTATTACAACTTTCAGAGACAATTATCGCAACAAGAATGCTTTGCTGACTTATTGTCTGTTTTCGGCAACGAAGCGCCACATCAGTGGACAATTTCCCTTTGGTATGGAAAACTCAAACGTGGACGGGTGAGTCTTAGCGACGATCCCAGGGTGGGTGCACCAAAAACCGCAGTCACCCAGGAAAACGTCGTTGCTGTCCGCAAACTCATCATTGAAGATAGACATGTGACATAGCGCGAGATTTAGGCATCCTCGAGGATCTCAAAGACCACAATTCAAAAAATTGTACATGAAAAATTAGGAGTAAGAAAATTAGTCTCTCGTTAGATACCCCACCTGTTGATTGAAGAGCAGAAACCAGCGAGGGTTAATTGGTGTCAAAAAACGCTTGACCGTTTAAATTCCGGAAACTCAAGAATTGTGTACAGCATTGTTAGTGGTGATGAATCGTGGATTTACTGTTATACTGTTATGAACCAGAAAATACACGACAGTCGGCTGTTTGGGTGTTCCAAGGTGAAGAAAAGCCAACAAAAGTCATCCGTTCTCGAAGTGTTTCGAAAAAGGTGGTCGCGACATTTGTGTCAAAAGCGGGTCATATTGCAACAATTCCTCTTAATGAGCAAAGAACTGTTACTGCGGATTGGTATACCACCATTTGTTTGCCAAAAGTCATCACCGAGCTTCGAAAAATCAACCCCGAAAGAAGAATCATCCTCCACCAAGACAATGCAAGCTGTCACACAGCCCAAAAAACAAGGCAGTATTTAACGGAAGAAAACGTGGAATTATTGGACCATCCTCCATATAGTCCCGATCTAAGTCCTAACGATTTCTTTACTTTCCCGAAAATTAAAAACAGACTGCTTGGTCAAAGGTTCCACTCACCAGAAGAAGCAGTTGACGCATTCAAAAATGCCGTTTTGGATCTGCCAGCAAACGAGTGGAATAAGCTCTTCGAAAATTGGTACGAGCGCATGCAGATGTATACTAGTCTTCGTGGAAAATACTTCGAAAAACAATAAAGTCATTTGAAACTACCTACCGTGTTGTTAAACTTAAAAGACATCCCTCGTAACATTGGGGATTCGTGTCACTGTTATCGTAGTATTCAATCGTCTTTAGCCTTAGAAGATCTAAATGGTTTTGGTGTCGGGGCGAGAATATCTAATACCATTTTGCAGAAAGTCAATTCAGGTCATTTATCAAAAAATTGTTAGAAACAGTCGTTAACGCTTGCCATTTTATCCGTTATTAAAAAGACAAATACCCCGATAAGGTGATGATGTGAACGAAATCAATTCCAAAACATTAAACATACAAAATACATTCTACTAGTGGAGACATTTATAATTTATTATACCTAGATTGCATCATAGTTACATACAGTTAGTTGGAAAGATTACCAAGTAATCATTAATAACCCGCTGTTAAATGTTGGGAACGTTGAAGTCAACAGGATTTGAACTCCATCAGTGGTCAATCACGCTTGCCCTATTATGTTTTTATATTTATTCACGTATATTGTTTACTTTGGAAATTGCCGCCATGGCGCGGTAGCCGAAACACCAGTAGCATTCGTTTCACATTAAGGACTTCATTGCCTCTACAATGAATCGGCACGTGTATTACGAATCCTGAAAAGTGACATTTTGTAGGTTTTTTTGTTGACATGTCGTCGGTTCTTTGACACAACGTAGATTTTTCTACAAGATGTTAACTTAGCACAAGCTTTTACATTTTTTAGGTTTTTTTGCATAGTACCCCTGCGGATCAACTACTTAACAGTTGGCAGTATGCTAGTATTCAGTGTCAAACTAGTATTTGCGCTTGAGCTGGAGAGAAGGAGACTGGTATCGGCTTCAAGTCTGACGACTAGGGGGTAAATCACTGCCTGAGGACGTAATAATTTGATACATTCCAATGCTTTTAGTTTATTTATACCCTACTGGCATGATCCTTTCTTTAAACATAGGCTACTAGAAGAAGCTTTTCGATATTTGGGCTATGCCGGTTAAACTAGTATAAACGTGTGTAGTCTTTGATTGATAACAAATTGCTTTGCGCTGTAAAGTAGTAGAAAATTACACACTTTCAGTTTGTGGGTCCAAACTTAGCCTAATTTTCCAATACATTCCCTTTGATCATCTTAAAGGCTGTAACAGCTTTAAACTATGAGAATCTAAGATAAGACGCAATACATGTGACAAAATATATAATAGCGTTTTTTTTCACGAAGCACTTTCATTTTATTTTGTTCGATCAAAATCAACAGTTAGCAGGACTTTGAACCATTTCCTCAGTCCATTTCTCGTTATGTAATTTGAATATTTCATGGGAGTTAATCTTGTTAGCTATTCAAAGCCAGATATACAATCAAGATGCAGGTAGACGAATAATCCTCCGCTTGCAGCGTATCCATACGTACACATAGTTCTTATGTCTTTATGCGTCGTTCTTCTTCTTATTGCCTGGTTAACAACCTCTTTGGCATTTAAGATTGTTGAATGGACTTGAATGGCCTCAACTACTAAAATTGTTTCCGACATCGTGCTCATTTGTTTTGTTTGTCCATTGACTCAATCATAGGCTGACCAATATATTACTGACTGATTGTTTCTCTAATATCATTAGAATAAAATTAAATAAATCCAATTTTTTATCTTCACCTTTTATAAAAGATGTATGGGAAATGATATTTAAGACACATACCTGAACCTTCTTGATTCCGATTTCCATTACATTCCGGCAGATTTTGTGAGCATTCATTTAGATTTCCGAATATGGCTCTGCTGCTGCTCGGTAATGTTTGTTTGTTAGCATAAACATTATTCTTCACAGAATAAAGTCTGGATACCTTGAAACCTTGAGACCAAATGACATCAGCTAATGGGAGGACCAAACGATTTAAAAACATTCTTTGCAAATCATTTTTCGTTTCGCTAGCTGTGTGGCACGTTTTCTGTTTCTTGCTCGTCACGTTAAGTTGTCGAACTTTGGGAGCCTCAATTTTTTGCATCATATCGTGGTCGCCAGTTCCAAAATGGGCGTGTATTCGGACCCTATTGTTTTATCTTCACCTTCTTTATGCCAACAAACCAAGCATTACAGAGCGAAATATTCGGAAAGCTATTCAAAACTCAAAACGTACCAAAAAGTTATGGAAAACGCGATCAAAATGGCTCAGGTATGTCCGGCTGCCAGGTGCGGGAATTTGCGAATACTACCTGATTGTGTTACGTATAAACTATATACATTAACGCCTGGACTGATGAATAAGATTGAATGCACTATCTTAACTACATCATGCGTTTATGATGTAAAGCATAAAAACCACTAACTTATGTCAATGTAACTCCTGAAGCTTATCCTTGGATTTTCAAGTTTATAGGTCCCCATTGTTTTGCCGAATCAAACCACATACGAGGTTTGTTCAAAAAGTATCGTAAATTTTGAATTTTCGCGGGCTATGTATGTTCGATTTTTGATCTTTTTGTGGCGTTATGTTGGTACTCATGACACTCACAATGTTGACAATATCGGCCAATTTGAATGTTCAGTCAGTTTTTGACAGCTATTGTGCGTGGACGTGTTTTAGCTTGTGTCCGATTTTTGTCTATCGTATATGTTTAAATTCTTGTTTATTATACGACGTGTAGACCACCACGGTCACCTTTTTAAGTACCATGAAAATAATGATAGTATATTTTGTTTATCTGTCTTCCAGATGATAGTTTACTAATTTTCCATTTCTTTATTCCTATACAGTGTGTTGCGACGATAGATTGAATTGTCCTGTAGTATACAGAAATCTCACGACGCCATCATTACAATTTTAAGAGGGCGCCCCGTAAAACCAGATAAACTCAGGATCGCCTGGGGAGGCATTCCTGTATCCAAAAGGACCTCCAGCACTTCAAAGCGAACGTGAAATAATCTGTCGTTTTTCTAATGTACCAGACACGTTCTCCTCGATTATCGTTCCGAAAACCCAGAACCGTGGAGCAACTACAAATTCTGCATGTGCATTGTTTTTTTTACTGCAATTCAAGAAATATTATTTCAACATCTAAAAGGAACTATGTTGTTTGTCTTGTGAGGAAGTAATATAAAAGACAGAACACTTTGTCCCTACCCTACTGTATAACGAGTGCGCATTTGCGGCCCAATAATAAACCATAAGAAAAAAATTGTAAGTAAAAACCTCATTATTTATCAGGCGGTTTGAATAATATCATTTAGATTCCTCCTTTATTAATACTCAACCAAATTGTGTTACAGTCTTCAGAAGAACTAGAAAGACAATTTTTGTTGTTTAATTTTATACACGCTGATTCACCTTCCTTCTGCAATTGCAATAATAATAAAGCAAAAATGTAGTACAATACCATAACGGGAAATATAAACAACACTCAGGTACTATAAGCAAGTAACTTAAAAAATGTCACAAATGCATATATAAAAAAATAAATGAAAAATACAAATGTAAAACGGTATGTTACAAATAAATTATTAGTATGTTATTAAAATAAAATGATGAATCTCAAATGTTAAAATCAAAGCTTAAAAACATTGTTATCATCTTTGAGCAATATTGAAACTTCCACTCATTTAACCCTATGCCCTGCTTGCAATACATGCTTGCTTAGAGATTTTGATGTTTCTCCCATTATTTATCTTCTTTAATTCTATATTTAATGAATCTCGATCTTTCACCAATTTACCGCACAGTCTATTTTATATATTAACCTTTTTGTGACTGTATTTTCATCAGTAGATCTTATGTTGCACAATAGAGATCTTAGGCCCGGTTTTTCTATTGCAAGTTAACTTTAACTTGACTGCTAACCAGAAGTTAACTATGAAAAAGCGTTTTTAATGTCAAGTATGCCCTAAAGCGGTAGTAAACTTCAACCAGAGGATCATGTATGGGATAACTGTAACGTTGTGATCAAATTGCAATGTCTAACCAAATAAACTTGACAGTGACATAGGTTGCCATGGATGACACAAGACACAAATAGCGAACACGATAATTCAGGCATAAAAGCAGCATTTCCATATCAACGGTTTATGTATTGTTAACCGGAACATGAAAAACGAATTCACAGACAATTTATAGTTAATTTCCAAGTCATAGTTACCCAACTAGAAAGTTAACCAATAATTGAAAAACTGGGCCTTACTGTGAAGACCTTGGACAACATCATAAACCAGGTATGTAATGTAATATTGTACTGCTGTAACCTATCACTTTGCTACCATATATTTGTTTTACTTAGGTCACTCATGAAGCTTCAATTTCCATTGGTCTAAGCGTTCCGATACTCCCGGTGCAGACCACGCCTCCTCACCACTTCCATCCAAACCGACACATTCCGGGGTGTACCGGAATTCGCTCGCCCGATTTGCCTTCGGGATCACCGGATTGGTCGGCATCCTGCGCTTGCTCCTCTAGAATGTTGGCATGTTTTGCTGTAGTGGATTTCATAATAGTCTATATTTTTTCTGACATTCGACGATATAGGTATTCAGAACGAGATGTCATTTTACTTGACTATATTGATCTGTTTATTTGTGCTACTTTGTAATCATTAGACGCTCTACAAAGAACAAAGGTTTTTACTACTACCTATGGCAAGTGTTACAGTTTTGCCGGTTCGCAAGATTGATCTTCTAAGTGTGTAATGAACCGCAATTTCCCAATGGACAGTTTGCCTACGCTATGCACTTTTTTCGAAGTTAGTTTCGGAGATAATTTAGATTAGGTAGTTTTTAAATATTTTTTTAATATAAAAGTTTCACCATCTTCAGTCATCAGCAAAAGTAACGGGACTGCTTTGAACTTTTCCAGGTAAGGTATTTTTGAAAAAGGTGAAGGTTGGGTCTATACTAACCTTGAACAAGGAGTCCAGTGGGAGCCTTGGGTTTGACCTTGAGCTTCACCTTCACGGTTATTTCAAGATCAACTTTTATTTTTTAAACAGAGAGCCCATTTTTAACACCGGCAAACTGAAAATTGTAGATCACCTCTAATAGTCAAATGAATGTAAACTATGTGAGAGTAGGGATAATTCCTGAGGGTTGAATGGAATTACTGATAAAAAAGTCAAGGCCAGACCTTAGTAACTCTTAACAGAGATTTCAATATTGACCTTGAAATTGATCTTGAGCATCACCTCAATGGTACATGATACATGAGAACATGTTGGGATGACCATTGCTGGGCTCCCAGTTTAAAAAAGTTTACATTGGAATGTATTTGAAAGTGAGGTTAGAGGTTAAATCCAATGGCACCATTTAAATCCTTGTTAAAAGTGACTAAAGAAGATTTTTTAACTATAAACCTGCTTAAACTTCTGGGGATTTCCCCTAATCGCAAACATTTCTGCTTCATTTGACCTTTACTGGTGGCCTTAATCTCAGATTTGGTCAGGAATGAAGATTTTCGTTTAGAAAACAAAAAGTGACCTTGAAATAGCCTTGAAGGTGAGGCTTTGGCCACGGCTTGTTCAAAGCTAGTATGGACCTGACCTTGGCCCTTTTCAAAAATACTTTGCGATAATTTTGTTATACCTAAGTGGTATAGGAACTTATGCGCTAATTGGGAGTCAACTGGCACTTTTATAAGGAAGTGAGATATCTCCAGGTGCGTCGCGTCATAAAATGCGAGTAGTACTGTTGCAGTAGCAACTCTCCGGGAATAAAAGCAGTATTCCAGGCCAAATCGTATCTGAGTTTCGCACGTTGTATATTTGCAAATGCAGTCCTGTTAGTTTGTTGGCTAAATATAATCGGCAATGACAAATAGCAAGTTTTCCGCTATATTAACTAGGTATATCTCATTAGCATAAACGTAAGAACGTCTTTAATTCCGACGTCACTTAATCATAGTAATTTTCTCCACTTAGGAGCAGCATCATTATAGGTTTTTTTATAAGTCGACGACGCACTGATCGTCGTTGAATACAGTTATCCTTTTATGACGAGGATAAAAAGGCATGTTTCCGATAATTTGTTAAATTTCTTGTTATCTCTCGTCTATCTTGCTGCTTTATTATTATACAAAAACGTGACGTTGGAAGTACTGATAAATTGGGGCGGATAAGAGGCATGAGTGAATTTTATGTTGAGAAAAATGTAATTCTTTTGATGATCTGGAGCGTTCTTTTTGTTGGTCTTGCTTGATTAAAAGTGATGACTTAATTTAATAAAAAATATATCATGTTCGTTTTAAAAGTTGTCAGATGCCGATTTTGTAGATGATAAGTACGCATGTAAACGGTGGGCCATCCGTTGGTTTCTTTTTTATTGGTTCTTTTTTATTGGTACTAAAACTAAACTCTTCAATGATATGCAACACTCGATACTTTATTCAAAAGAATACTTTAGATCATTATTTATGAAAAACGAAAAACAATTTCAGCTAAATGGCTGCCGCGGCAGGACTGGAAGTCGTCCGTCCTCTTAACCCAATTTTGAAGCACATTTTCGATCGTTTGTGGGTCTATTTCATCAATAGATCGACGGATATTTTCCTTAAGAACATCAATTGTTTGAGGATCGTTAGTGTAACAACGGTCCTTAACAGTACCCCATAGGAAGTAGGCTGGCCAATGAATGTCTCCAAAATGGCTGATAACGCGATGACCGAACTTAGTATGTAAAATATCGATTGTTTCACGGCTGGTGTGGCATGTTGCGCCATCCTGCTGGAGCCCGAGATTGTGCAAGTGCATGTCCTCTAATAGTGGCCACAAAAAACTGCTCAACATGTCTCTAGCGTTCCCCGTTCACCGTCACGATGTTACCATCTTCATCTTGAAAAAAGTAGGGACCAATAATCCCACCACTCCAAAAGCCACATCAAATAGTTACTCTTTTTGGATGCATTGGTTTTTTTGTGATGACATGTGGATTTTCAGAACTCCACATCCTACAGTTCTGCTTGTTAACGTAACCTCCCAGATGGAACTGGGCTTCGTCCGAAAAGATGATTTGGTGACCAAAATTGTCGTCCGTTTCCAACGATTTAGAGCCCGCACAGAGAAACGATATCGAAGCGGATGGTCATTTTGTTTCAACTCTTGCACAAGTTGCACCTTGTAAGGAAATCATCCAAGGTCGTTATGCAATATTCTCCGTACAGAAGTGTGACTGATGCTCACTTGGTGTGCTCTGTAACAAATTGACATTCTTGCGTTTTCACGCACACTCTTGGCGACAGCAGCAATGTTTTCGGCTGTACGTACGGCCGAACACGCTCACACCGTGTGTTATCCACAAGCAGGCCAGTTTCACGAACCTTCGTCACGAATTTTCGTATACCAGTTGCAGACGGAGCTTCATTCCGACCAAATAGTCTTCTCAATTTTCGCAAAGTTTCTGCAACAGAGCACAAAATGTTGTGGGTATTTTATGTAGACCTTTTTAACAATCTGCAAACCAGTCACTCGACGATAGTGCATTTATCTCAGGGTAAAGATTCGTTTAGTGCTGCGAAAAACGTCACTTACTCACTGACAAGAACCTGTACTGTAGTCTATCATTTTTAAAGACTGGAACAATGGCGGACCTGCAAATTAGCAAGTAAATACAGCAATCCTGTAATTTTTCACAGGCCGACTAGAAAGCGCGCCATAGGGGAATGTAGAAACGAAACGTTTGCACCTAAACTAATGCATCTAAAACGTTCTTAAGCGGATGAAGAATTTCCATACTATAGTACATATCAGACCTAAGGGGACAGGGTACTTGAGACTCATTACATAAATTCTATTTATACTTTTCTATACGAAATCCCGATTTTTATCAGCTTATTATCCTAATGGCGGTCTGATCGCGATCGCTCTCATGAAATGCTTTGTTTGTAGATACAGACTTCGTTGTAACAAATTTCCTGAGTGTAGACCAGGTGGGATAAGGTTTGACGTATGTATCAAGAAAATTGATAATCGCTAGTTAGGAGCGAAAATTCGATGGAGAAAATGAAATATTACAAAAATGCCAATGTTCTCATGATTTGTGTTAGATTAAACGCATACGATTCGAGCCGTAAGGGTTATCTACTGTAACTTGTTAGTCCACAAAAAATCACTAGTATTTAATTTCGCCAGCTCTAAGGGTATCTAGTATACAGGGTGTTAATAAAGTATGCAGATAAACTTTAACCATCGAATGCTTGGTCAATTTGAAGACGAAATATCCATATGAACATGGGTCCGCAATGGCTTTGTTATCAAGCTAGCATATTAGCACTAAAAGAAATGATGATATTGTTCTAAAAAATTATAAAAGAATGGAACATATTTTATTTTAATTAAGTATGCCCTGTGGCATGTGACATGATTCACAGATGTTTTCAGGCACTCCAAATACGTATGTATGTTAAATACGGAAAATGTTATCCAGTAAATTTTGGAAAAATAGAATGACATTGATTTGTTTTGATCGTAATACTTTTAATATGTAAGCATTGTGCTTATCTAGACACCTATGAACGTACCCAAAAACAATTGAATTAATTTACTTTCTCAAATAACTCGACAGCTGTCAAATATTTGTTTTCTTGTCTGGTCATTCTGAGACTCCAAATATTTCTAAGCTTTGGTGATTACTAATTGTCATAATGGTGCAGTTCAGTAATCAAGAAATGATAGATATGCATTTCGTTTACGGAACGGCTCTGGGTAACGCCCGACGAGCACGACGTTTGTATGGTGATTGATTTCCACAACGCCCGCTGCCTAATGTACAAATTTTCATCAACAATCACGCTCGACTATCTGAAACAGGCAGTTTCAAGAGATCCACACAAGTGTAAACACCATCCAAATCGAAGAAAAAAGTCGCAGAGGACCCTACAACAAGTACATGAAAAATTGCGCACCAGCTAAATTTAAATCATGTAACGGTATGGCAAATTTTGAAAGATCAGCAACTTTATGCATATCATATACAACGTGTACAAGTGCTTTTGCCTCGAGATTTGCCTATAAGAGTTGATTTTTGCAACTGGTTACGTAAAAAAGTAACATTAAATCAAAACACTTTAAATCGAATTCACGGATGAAGCATATTTTTCGCGAACAGCAATAATAAATTTCCATAATAACCATGTATGGTGTGAAGAAAATCCTCATGCCATATTTGAACATAATATGCAACACAACTTTTCCTTCAATATTTGGTTTGGAATCGTTAGTCACCACTTGATTGTCCCTCATTTCCTTCCCCCCAGACTTCCGGCGAAGAGTACCGAAGATTTTTGGAATTTTACCTACCTGGATTAATCAAGGAAATTCCTCTTAGAGAACCACGTCGCATGTGGTACATGCATGACGGTGCTCCGCCACACTTCAGTGTGTTTGCGCGAGAATACCTAGATAATAATTATCCAAATCGATGGATTGGAAGAGGCGGACCACAGCCATGGCCGCCTAGATCGCCTGACATGAATCCTATCGATTTCTTTTTATGGGGACATTTTAAATCATTAGTATACAAGACTCCTGTTCAAAGCGTGGAGGACTTCAGAGTCAGAATTGTCGAGTCATGTCTGACTATACAAAATACTCCTGCTATTTTCAGAAGAGTTCGTCAGTGAATGTGTAACATAGACGCCTGTATTGAAGTCGAAGGTGGCCACTTAGAACATTTATTGTAAAAAAACTATTCGATATTCTATTGTTGTCGTTCTACTTGAATGTTACTGTTCAAAACTATTGACCTTCTAAATTTTTTTTCCAAAAGTGCATGATAATACTATTTTCAAAATTACGGAAGCAAGCAAAAAATCCAAAGCTTTCGGTGATCTTTGACAATCTGTATTCTGGTGAAACCTGATCGTATCTAGACTTTAGGAAAAATCATTAAGTTTCTAGTTTTCAGGTTTGTTAGCCGAAAAATTTTAGGAGCAACGGTACTCATACAAATCTATCAGATAATGAAAGGAAAATTGTTAGCATAACTTTTGCCATCTTCTTTTTAGTCCACGGGCTATTTTTCTGTCAGGCCATCATATGGATCAGATAGCCCTTTTATTGACTTTCAGTATCATGTTTTAAAAATTCTCGATTCGTTTATTTGGCGCGGAGATCACAGATATCTCGTCGCATAGAGAATGTAAGGGTATTTCCGAAAACTCGAATAAATCTCCTATAAGATTTGATTGCAATCTTTGAGCAACATTTTTCTTTTTTGTTTCCTTAGTGTTGATTTTAAAGAAGTCAAAAAGATACTTTTTGCATTGCTTTTAGAAAATCGACCTCATTTTTGGAACTGCTAATTAGAATACTAATGTATCTTTAGTAACCCTGCATGACGGCGGACCAATCCATTGTAGCGTTTTTTCCGGACCGACAAATTCCTAAATCCGCCTTTGAGACCCCTCAAAAAATATTTTCTAGATCCGCCCCTGGTCACTAGTTTTGTTTTTTGGAATATTCCATGAATACAAGAATAAACTTTACCTAATTGCTTTTTTAAAGTTGAAGGATCCAATAGTGACAACAAAAGAAGAAAAATGATTTTTCCATTTTCAAGAAGATGTCTTGATACAAAAATTTTGCTCCTTTGATTTCTTTTAATTGTTTCTTCAAAGATGGCAATCAAAGCCCATTGGAGTTTAATCGAGTTTTCGGGAATACTCTTTCATTCTCTGTGCGACCTCTGGTTACCGCGATATCAGTGGTGGATGACAAAAGCATCCTTTTTCATTTAAAGTCGGATATCTCCGCACCAAATAAGTATCGAGAGCTCAAAGCTTCAATTTGATTTTTTTAGGGTCTAGATACGACCATTTTCCACCGAAAAACAGCTGGTCAAAGATCACTGAAAAGTTTGGGTTTTTTCCTGCTCCCTTAATTTTTTGAGTACTATACTCTGCGAAAGGTTGGAAAATCTCGGACCTGGAGATACTACAGACCGAAATATGTGAATTGACCTAAATATACCTCGGTCCAAAAGTTGTTAGTTTGCGAGATACAGGGTGTCAAAGTTACAATTTTCTTTTCTATTTTTCCTTATTTCTTGAGAAGTATTTTAGATTCTGGCATAAAACTCGGTATAGGGAAGTTTTTTAGTATGAGAAACAAGAATCTGTTATTTTTTATGCCCAAACTTCTAGAGGGCGCCACTTACTATTTCGCTAGGTATATAACTTATCACAATTTTTTTGTGCTACCCTGTGTACAACAACTGACCAAAAAATCTTATTTTCTCATATTTCCACAACAAAAAAGGCTTACTTGTTAGAAGTGTCTAAGGCTGATAGTTTTCGAGATATTTGTTTTTAAAAGTTCCAATGCATTATTTGTACCATGATGATAAAACATTTTTATAACATAATAATCAAGTTGCTTTGGATAATATCTGAGAACCGTTGCTATGGTTTATGTCATAATATTGTTTTAAACTTCATTAATAATGTTACACAGATATTATCCAAAGCAACTTGATTATTATGTTACGTAAACATGTTTTATCATCATGGTTCAAATAATGCATTGGAACTTTTAAAAATCAATATCTAGAAAACTATTATCTTTAGACATTCCTAACAAGTAAACCTTTTTTGTTGCGGAAATACGATAAAATAAGATTTTTCGGTCAGTTGTTGTATACAGGGTAGCACGAAAAAGTTATGATAAGTTATTTACCGAAATAGTGCTGTAAGTGGCGCCCTCTAGATGTTTGGCCATAAAAGATAACCGGTTCTTGTTTCTCATACTAGAAAACCTCCATATACCGAGTTTTATGCCAAAATCTGAAATATTTCTCAAGCAATAAGGAAAAATAGAAAATAAAATTGGAATTTTGACACCCTGTATCTCGCAAACAATCAACTTTTGTACTAAGGTATGTTTAGGTCAATTCACATATTTTGGTCTGTAGTATCTCCAGTTTCAAGATTTCACAACCTTTCGCAGACACCCTGTACAGTATATTCATACTTAAAAAATCGGCCTTTTTATGGTACAGAAGCTGGTCACACACGTGAATAATACTATAATATCATGTAATCTTAATGCAAACAGTCACATATGCTAACGTCAACGCCGCAAAGTTATGCTTGTGTTATTGTAGATTAAAATACTGTCACGATTTCCATTGTTTTCTCAAGATGTCTCAGTGAAACACAATTATACTTTTCAACATTTCTGTTTATATGACTTGTACTCCAGTCAATGAAGCACCACAAAGCTGAGAAAGAAGTTGTCATGAAATCTTAAAAATTCGTCTAAAAAATTAAATTTCAAAAGTAAACATTGATTAGAATCAACAACCAGGTAGTACCACAGATTTCATTATGTAATCATTAATAGCAGTAAATTATTAGACTAATACTCTAATCTTATTATCACTGGTGTATGATATCATGTTATCTATCAAACCAGTTTGCAAAGTACTTATGGCAGCTTGAAATAATTATACGTTGCCAGTCTTTGCATTGAAGCTATAGAATAACTACCTAATAGAAGTAGAAAGATGAGGTTCATTTATTATTTAATGCTATTTATATTTGTTTCTGTGATTGGGACAGTGTTTGGCTCTGGTAAGTATACACTTTGATATAAATCATAAATAGAATATAGATAAGCTTAGTTACAAAGATGAAAACTCGAATAAAGGTCATAGCAGTTATACTTTAGCGTGTAAAAAAATGTTTGAAGGTAGACAAAAACCCATATTATTTCTTATTACTAATAATACTTCGCCCGATTCTAGAATACGTCATTTTGCAAAGTACTTGCAACCATTTGAGGTGCCAAAGTAGGCTGAGTTTTCAAATTGCTACTGGGTACAGTGATGGGATTTATTATTCCAAAATTTCTACTTTTTCAGAATCATGCCGCGTCAATGGTCGTGAAGTAAGTTGTGGTACAAGCATCTGTACCAGTTGCTGCCGATCTATGCATCAACAGGTGGACTGCAATAGCGGAACTTGTGTATGCAGGACTGCATTCGAGTCTCGACGCAAACGGCGAAGGATTTTCCAGTGAAGCGAAGTTGATATTATCTCGATTTATGTATCAAGTTACAATTTGTATATCAATATATAATCAATATGCTTCTTGATTGTATCTAATCTATCTTTGAGAGTATGCAAGTCCATACCCAGATACTGCATTCTTATACAGTATGGAACAATAAAATGGAATAAATTCGCTATTTCGAGTCCTGTACAAACTAGAAAACACCAAAACAGATCGACTTTCAATTAAATTAACATTCTATTATACACGGAGTTTCAGTTTATTGTTGCATAACTTTAAGATTCGATAGAACATTTAAAATTAATGCATAAAGTCTATATAAACATGGGCCAAAAAATGCGTGGCTTCGGAAATACAGGGTCTTTAAATTTACTTTCTAAAATAGCTTTTTTTAAATATTTCGAACAATATTTGATGTATGACAGTGTAAATTGGTATACAAGGGTTTTTTGGTACGACAAAACGAACCATGAGCATAGTTTTACTGTAGCCGCTAGAGGGCGCTCTCTACTGTGCCTGTAGTGTATTAAAATGACCGAAAAATTTTTCTTAGTGCAATTTTTTGTTTTTTGAATAAAAAAACTGATTCTTCGCACTTTTCAACATAAAAAAGCTGTCCTGTGAGTTTTCGTTATAGTTAGCCGTTTTTGAGATATTTCGATTTTTAAGGTTCGATGCATTTTTAAGTACTTATGATAAAATAACGTTAAAAAGTCAGTATCTCGATAATTCTTAGAAGTAGGCTGTGCCTGCAAATATTTTTGAAATTGAAAGCAGAATAAGGTTAAACGTCAATTAGTTGACATTTAGTTTTGTTGTCTGTTGAAACCTGAAACGTTTTTTTGCAATTGTGAATGCACGAAATTTAGTTTCTTTTACCTGTTTTTTTTTTGTAAGTTTTATAAAAATGCCATTTTTATTCTCCAATCAAGAGTTAGCGGATATTCATTTTTTGTATGGCTTTGTAAGTGGAAACGCAGCAGAAGCAGCCAGAGAATACGCACGAAGATTTCCAAACAGACGACATCCAACTCGCTCAGTATTTGTAAGAGTGCATCGCCAAATAATTGAAAATAGTTTTGGAAATCTCCAAAGGGATCAAAACATAAATGTTCGTCCTCGCAGATTTACCCGTATGATTCTGCGTGAGTTTGATAGAGATCCGGCCACAAGTGTTAGGAGAGTTTCTGGTGCCTTGGGAATTTCAGCAAGCCATGTTCACCGTGTTCTTAGAAATGACCATAGGACGTCCTTACCATTTGCAACCTGTGCAAGGAGTACAGCCAGGGGACGGGGAACGAAGAATCACATTTTGTCAGTGGATTCTTGATAGAACTGATAATAATAGGGAGTTTTTAAGTAACGTTTTATGGACCGATGAGTCATGCTTCACTAGACGTGAAGTGGTAAATTTTCATAATCAACATATTTGGTCGCATGAAAATCCGCATGCAGTTCGGGAAAGAAATTTTCATGAATTTAGTGTGAACGTGTGGATTGGTATCTACCGTAATCGACTATTTGGACCCTACCTTTTGCCTGCAAGGTTAAATGCTGCGACTTTCTTGGAATTTTTAAAGGCTGAACATGCAAATATGTGGGATGATGTCTGTTAGATTTAAGAAGATTGGCCTGGTTCCAGCTTGATGGTTGTCCAGCTCATTATTCGAGATAAGTTAGAAACTGGCTGGACGAAAATTATCCAGAAAGATGGATCGGCCGTGGAGGACCAGTCGCCTGGCCTCCACGATTCCCTGACCTAAATCCATTAGATTTCTTTGTGTGGGGATTTCTAAAAGAAAAAGTGTACCAGACTCCCGTAACCACAAGAGATATAATAAGGCCTTATTTGAATAATGCTATACCACGTTCGATCATTCGTAGATGTGAATTGTGTATTGAACAATTGGGTTTACATTTCGAGCAACTACTTTAGATTGTGTATGTTTGTCCTAACTATCCAATAGCGTTTTAGTTGTAAATAATTAATTTAATTTGTTAAAAATAATATTGGAAAATTAAAGAAATTAATATTCTGTTTTTGTGTTTATTTGGAGTTAGGAATTATTGCTGTGTTTAAAAACACAATCTAAACGATCATCTTAATTACTTGCAATGCCCAAATCGAAAATGTAAAAAAAATATGATTTTCCAATAAATAATTAAAAATGCATCGCCTTAAAAATCGAAATGTCTCAAAAACGGCTAACTATAACGAAAACTCACAGGACAGGTTTTTTATGTTGAAAAGTGCGAAGAATCAGTTTTTTTATTCAAAAAGCAAAAAATTGCACTAAGAAAAATTTTCGGTCATTTTAATACACTACAGGTACAGTAGAGAGCGCCCTCTAGCGGCTACAGTAAAACTATGCCCATGGTTCGTTTTGTCGTACCAAAAACCCTTGTATACCAATTTTCACTGTTATGCATCAAATATTGTTCAAAATATTTAAAAAAAACTATTTTAGAAAGTAAATTTAAACACCCTGTATTTCGGAAGCCACGCTTTTTTCGACCCATGTTTATATAGACTTTATGCATTAATTTTAAAAGTTCTATCGAATCTTAAAGTTATGCAACAATAAACTGAAACACCCTGTATATTCAAAGGATAAAGCTGTAACTTCAGTATTTCTATAAATGAAAAGTCGGCTTGTGAAAGATATATTTACTCTCTACTCAACAGGTTTGTCGTTTTCAGATTTGCTACAAAAAAAATTTCCTTAAAAAATTATCCGTTTGTATCAACTGCTTCACAATACATCCACACAAATTCAAGAGTTAAGTATTTTGGGCATCGGGGGTTGCATCACTCGTGGTTAATGTTAAGGATGAAATATTTACTCAGTAAGATATAGTTTTCGAATTCAAAATTAACGGGGTAATTGAGATAAAGATTTTAACATTTTACAAATTAATGAAACCCTCAATAAATAGTTTTTATTATAACAAAGCATTTATTGCCCATCAGTACAGATACTATTTAGAGAGCAATACATTCTACTTTGATATAATTTACACAGTCCGTGTGCCATAAAGCGAAAAAAAAAACACAAAAAGAGAACGGCACTTTAAGTAAAGAGAAAAAAAATATGAACATGATTAATAGATAATAGCAAAAAATAATATACCTATAGCTATAGCATGTAATGTTCACACATAAACATATAACAAACGAAAACATCTAGAGAAAGGGACAAAAAAGTCAAAGATGTGAACGAATAGCACATCTTAATTCCTGAAATCTACAACAGAAGATCACAAGAACTCCCAATCCTATTCGCATTATTGCACATAAAGTTTATTGGTGCGTTAGACAGAAGATTGCGCTGGGACTTCTAACAGAAAAGGAAAACTTTATATACTGAGTGAAAAAAAAGCTAAACACCTACGTATCTTTATTGGAATTCAAGAATTTTTTACAAATCGATTTATTTTGCAAAAGAAAAGGGTCTAATAATAAATCAGGAAAAAACTAAATATATGAGACGGACAGATGATGATTTTATGACAGAAGAAAGCCTAAAGGTAAAAACAGGCAGTGGCAAAATATATAATTTTGAAAAGGTCGATCAATTTGTCTATTTGGGATCAACATTCACAAGAAAACCGGGCACAAGGGAAGAAATCAAAGCAAGACTGGAGAAGGGAAATGGATGTTTGAATAGCCTTAGCCATCTCTTGAAAAGCAAATTGATAAGTAATAAAGTAAAAATTAAATTATATAAAACAGTAATAAGACCATCAGTTACATTTGCTTGTGAAATATGGATCTTGAGGAAGGCAGATATAAATACCCTAGAACTGTGGGAAAGAAAGGAATTGAGAAACATTTTTGGAGGGAAACAGAACAATGGGGTATAGGAAAGAAGAACAAACCAAGACCTTGTAGATATGTATAAAGAATCAAGTATCACAGGATATATAAGAGCGCAAAGGTTGAAATGGTTAGGGCATGTAGAAAGGATGGCAGAAAATAGGATTCCAAAAATGATTGTTAGCAGAAGCATAGGAGGCAAGAAGAGGAGAGGGAGACCGAAGGAAAGGTGGAAGAGCGAAGTAGAAGCTGATCTGAGAAGCTTAGTGTACAAAAATGGAAATCAATGTGTCAAAATAAGAAGAAATGGAAAGAAATTACAAATAAAGCCTTGGGCCTTTCAGGCCTGTAGAGATATGTATATATACGTACATATATAAGTTGTATAAAAATATAATCGACGCCCTGCTCTTTGCACTTCTCCAGAGAAGGGACGCCAAATCTATTGAATAACAACACTTCTGTAGCATAGATATTTCAGAAACTTATTTTGAACTTTTGCAATATTAGTTTTGTAGATTTCATAGGTAGTGCTCCAAATGATTGTACGGTACTCAAATTTATTTATAACAAACACTAAAAGTAACTTTATACCCGTTGTGATATTGGAATTTCTACAGTTTCTGATAATAAAGCCATATGTGCAATATTGATTTGATAGTTAAAGGTGAACTGACAATCAAAATACACACCCAAATCTTTTCACCCTTTCCAATACAAAATCATTTATTTTATATGGGTAAGTTAAAAATTTGACTTTCCAGGTGAAGATTAAAATGCGAGATTTAGAGATGTTTAAATACAATTTTTTATTGATACACCATATTTGTAAAAAAATATTTGTTGATGGAGGTTTTCGTAATCTTGCCAGCTACAAACAGATGTGTAAAGCTTCAGGCCATCAGCAAACAAAAGCGGGTTGCATGATAATGAACTGCAAAGATCGTTGACCTATATGCTAAACAATAAGAAACTCAAATTGGAACATTGAGGTATACCACTAGTTGACACGTATGTGCAAGGATTACATCCATTATAGAACACATAGTGAGCTCTCAAGTCTAGATAAGATCTGAGAAGATCCATGCCAGTTTTGTTGACTCACATGTATTCAATTTGTTGTATAAGGGTGAATATACAAAAATTGGGTAACTTTCATACATATTTTGTTTAATATAGTTTTCAAGTCAAATGTCTACAAATTCGGGTATTTAAGACAGATAATCTAATAGATATATTGTTCCAAATGGGGCCTGTCACTTTTATGAGTAAATTTTCGATTTCGAAGTTGACCGCCAGGGTACTGGCGAAAGTAACAGAACTGACAAAATACGCAGTTTTATAGAAAACACTATTAACAATAGGTAAGTAGTGAATATCTGGTCACAAATGGAACAGTATTCAAAAACTTTTCACAAAGATTTTTCATCCAGCAAATATATTATACATACACTTGCTGCATGGTATGATATATTATCAGACACTCATTCTTTCTTTCTAGTCGCTTGGCCACTGTTAGCATCGTCTTATCAAAATTGCCAAAACCAAACGTTGCACTTCAATTATTTTTTCTTTTGCAAGCTTATGTCCGGTCTTTTTGTAAGTCACTGCTCTGTTTTGTATTGCCCATAGTTTGTATTTATCTATTACATTTCCAG